CACATCTTCTTACTGAAAGACAGAAAGATAGGAAGGGTGGGGGTCGGACGGTTTCTGCTGGAGGGCTGTAAGATCCCAACAGATTGTCGACAACAGATTAACAGTGCCATTGCGAAAAATGAGTGTCATCGCAATTAGTTTGCATCATTAGAAAAGGAAGAGCAGTTCACAGTCACATCATTATCCCCTTCACTGCCGCAAGTAAACATCCACTATTAACCCCAAGTAACACGCCAGCAGCATGTGTGCATATGTGTAAGGGAGAGTGAACAAAGTGTGTGCGGATGTTCAGTATATGATGTTCTGCTATGTTATAAGGGCATATAATATTTTTAGCTAAAAAGCAACATTGTTTAATCTTATGCAACATATGGTCATGACAAAGAGCTTGAACACATATCTCCAGTTCACCACTAAATGATTATGGTGCCATTCAATCGATAGTCGCTGCTGTTTTTTTTTTTTTTATATCTTTTTTCTTCATGAGCCATGTTTTCTCTGTTGCTTTTCATCATCTCCCCCTGTCTGTCCCCTTGAGCACTAGCTGGAGATGAACTGCTACTCGCAGGTAGCTCTGGCCGTGCAGAGAGAGAGAGGAGCAGAGTGGTGACAGATAACAACCAGGAGAACCGGTGATAGTTTAAACTGCCTCTTTCATGTGGCCACCTGCTTCCTTTCTCCGTCTTTCTCATTTTCTGTCCCTCTGACTGAAACTGTCCTCCCCCGTTTTTGTCTCCCTCTGGTTCTTCCATCATTGCTCTTTCAAACCTGGCAGAGGAAAGATGGAGGCAGGGATAGATAAAGAAAGATACCACTTTCAGAGTCATGCCTCACGGTGATGTGCAGTGGTAGAGTGGAATTAGCCAACAGCAGGAAAGAGAGAGAGCACACTCAATAGTATTAAGGTTACTTAATTGTGGACTGGGTTGTCTTTCGTGCTTCACTACGCTGAGACATATTGCCCTCGATGTCAGTAATGGCTCAATGGCTGCTTCCTGATAAACAAACCGTGCGTGTTTATGTGTGTCCCAGTGAATATCTTATCCTGAGTTGTACTGCGGCTGGTTAGCTGTCGATGGATGTTAGGATGGAGGATGAGATTTTAAATGCTTCAGTAGATTCAGAAATTAGCAATTTGGTTAATGGCATAATGTAGTTCACTGGCTAGCTCATGTTTAATTATTACATGAGAATCTAAATACATTGACGTTACCAAGAAGTATGCAGTGTAGGCTACATTTTACATTTACCCCTTGTGAATATTTATATATATTTAAAAATATATATAAAACTTACATGCAATGACTTACAAATGTCGCCTCTAATGCAGAGTTACAAAGAATTCTAAGATTAGCTTCCAGTGACATAATTTTCAAAAAATTCTCAATTTCTGAAATTCTACGGTTTTTCTTACAGACATTCATGTAGCACCTTAGGCCCTAAGTCAGACTAATGAGGCAAAATATTAGGAGTAGTGAGGAGGACTTTTATTGAGCCTAAGAGTGTCTTAAACATAGGCGATGGTGGAGAAACTGACTGAAAAGAGACATAAGGTCTGTAAATTGGATAGAGCTGTGCCAACCGCAGGCATTACTTCTCTATCCTGTTTGCTTTTTGCATCCTTTACTTCCCCATTTCATGTTGTACAAACTGGTCTCTTTGTCATGTCATCTCTGCAACAGGGAATCAATAAGTCGAGGTAAATACAGGGAGAATCTGTGACAAACTTAAAAAGATAAGCTATGGTTTAGTTCAACTCAATTCAAATTCAGATTCAAATTCAAATTTAATTGTTGCAAAAAATAAACTTAATTGATTGATTTATTGATCTCAAAGATATAATAAATATTGTTGTAACTCATATTATTTCAAATTCTTAAGTTAAGGATTGTTTCCATCAAATTCGTGCTAAAGGGATTGCTAAGGTAACAATGGCACTGATGATTTTGTCAAAAAGATATAACATAAAAGAAAAATAATAAAAGCATAAGAAACTCAAATTTAAGGTGTAGGTATTTTTTTCCAGGTGAGATTATCCTTCTGCAACAAGAAATTTGTTTAATTTAAAGATTTTTGCACAATAACAGTTATTATTCATCGAGCTTGACTTTTCTTTAAATATGAACCCATGTAAATATAGGCTACATATTACAAACTATATAAGCTGATGAGGACTTTTGAGGTGCTTCTCACAGCACCTCTACAGACACATGACAACAATCTGTTCAATATTAAAGAAAAAACTCAGGATGGCTATATTGAGGTTGAAGATAATTCTTAATCCTTCAAAAAAACTAGATCTCAAAGAGTTCAATTTTTCAGGATTTATGAGTGAAAGGACTTTAATATTGCCCCATCTCCCATCATGCCTCCTTCCTTCTCTCTTCTTCTTTCTGACTAAAAGACATGCTCAACCATCTCTGCTTCCCTGTCTCTTAGAGTATACTCCACCATCCGTCTCTCTGGCTATCTGGCCCCTTTCTTTCCAACCTTTCTCTATCTTTTTCTCACAATGCATTTAAATCGGGTATTTAGAGATTCCGGCTGCTCTCCCCTCTTTACACCTGCTTTGAAGTAACCTCTATCCCTCAACAATACTTTTAACCACAAAATGCCCCAGCTGCTCCAGAAATAGGCCCAAGGAGACAACTGCCAAATGATACAGGGAAAGGCGTGATATTTATGAAAGGAAAAAAAAAAGCCCCTGTCCCATTACTAAATGTAGTTTTTTTTTTTTTTTGCTGCACTGCTAAACTACCTCACAAGATGGCCAACTGGTTTCCATGATGCCTCCTTATGAGACTCAGTGGAGTTTAGCACTGCACATGTTGCTGCCCTTGGGAACGCACCAAACAAAATGTGCCATCTGTTAGTTAAATGGCTGTCCAAACCGAAATGTGGCCACATTAATCTGATGTACTCCCAGTTGTTTACTAGTTACAATGTTTACATTGATCTCTGCTGCAGGAGCATGGATGATTTGGTAAGAAAAATAACCCGGATGCTAAAAGTCCCCAGACTTTGTTGTTCTAACTTGCTGGTGATAGTATATGGCATCCATTTTAAAATTTGGATTGTTTCTTTTCCGATCAGAAAATCTTGCATCAAGATAACATTAAGAACTATGTATTTGAAAGATGAGAAAATTTACAGTCAAAAAGAAGAGAATGTAATAAGTAAGTATGCTGCTTTACCTTAAGCAATTACTGAAAGATGGAAGCAATTTAAAAGGGAAATAAACAGAACATCTACCTGAACATGGAATCTGTGACTCACCTGCTTTAATAAGAAAAAGCTCCAACATGCACAGTGAGACAGAATAACTTAAGCTTCCCGTTTGGTCATTTTGACAATCTGTGATATACAGTTTGGTTGACACAGGATGGCGTGGTCAAGGTTTCTACTGGAGCTACAGCAAATAAGGCTCTAATTAAAAGCCCCTGAAAACCTGTTTCAAACTCAGGACAGTTTGTCTGGAAACCAAATGTGACCAATAAAGCTGAGAATATGTACTATAATCTCCTGTAGTTACCATTCCTTTTCAAAATGTACATACCAGATGTAACAATTTCTAAATAATCTTGAGGTGATAACAGAGTTTAAACCAAAAGTGTCCCTTACACCACAATGTTTATTTTTTGCATGTTATGCAAAATTTAATTCCAATTTAGTTTAATCTCATGATGTTGGGTTTTTCTTTAACACGTAATAATGTTTTAACATGATGGTCTTTGTTTGCTCCACTCTGCCCTCAAATTGCCCCTTAAAAAAAGACAAATATAAAATTAGGCTTTGTTTTAGTGTCTTTGTGTAGTAAAGGCAGCATCCTTCTCAAAATGCTTGGCACCAATGTTTTTGGCTGGAACCTGTGTATTTTGTGCAGGCTGATAACAGGAGAATGAGAGGGTGCATCAGGCTGATAACAGCTGGCATTGGGTGGTAGATTGGTTGTGTTTCTTAGAAGGCTTTTTATAAAGCAAGGACGTGCAACTATGGTTGGAGAAATTGGAGGAGTATTTCTTCTGCTGTTTCATCTGTGAAGCTATATGTTGAGGAATAAAGGAGATTCCTGGATTCCTTTTTTTGTCAAAGATGAACAATACCACATTTGCATAGACATTTGTACAAGGAAAACCTTTTAACCTTTCAGGGTCCCTTCAAATTATATATTTTTCTTTAATTTTGCATAATTTGTTTTTGTGAAAATTTCACAAAATTTGGACAAGATTGGTATTTTCAGTGAAAATTTCCAGTTTTTCTACATTTGCTTTTACTTTAAATATTTCATTACTAAATCAAGCAGTCTGTTGCCTTGTGGCCTTTTCTTCTGCAACTCAGTTTCTTTCTAATTAAATACTGTAAATACACTACCACTTAAATTTAAGACCAGCTTTTATTTGTCCCTTGAATAAAAGCCCTTTTGGAAATCCGTTCAAAATGTTTCATTTTTTTTATGTCTCAATGGGGAAAGGTATCTATTTTATAATGCAATGTAAATCCACAAAGTGCATTCATGTACAAAACAAACTATCAAGTGAATAAAAATGTAAAAGAATCAATGTTTACTGCTTATTATTCTATTAACTCCCAGGCTTGGACATAAAAAAATAAATAAATAAAAAAATTGAATTTCTGATTTCAAGTTAGGATTTCTGAGAATTAATGAACATGTACTGTATCGGGTGAGGACAAGGTTGGCATGAAAAAATAAAGAAAAATTATATATCTTTGACATATAATTGATTTTACACAAGACATCAAGTCATTACACTAAAAAATTGTTTACAGGTGTCATATTAAATAAACAAAAAAAATGAAAATGTGTTTGGAGTCACAGTTTCTGAAGGGCTTATATAGGAGAGAGCTAAACAAAAAGAAAGGAACAAAAAAACAAAATACTGACCCAAAACGTCACAGCAAGTCCAAACATCTAGGACTGTTGTACTATGTGCATGATATGCACAATAATTTGTACGAGGATGTGAATTATAATTTCTTACCAAGTCTTGGGTCATACTGTCTCATTTGAACTTCTTCCACACAGTCTGCCGGGAACCAGCCTGTTCTTCCTTTGACAGTGCCTTCCCAGAACCCTCCTTCACCTATACTTAGTACTGATGCAGAGAGAAAGAAAGGGAAATCATTACTAATTACACAGAAAACCAGCGCCATGTGATATCACTGAGACTGTAGAGGATGCTTTAAAATAACCAAAAGGCACACGCAAACAAAGAGCAGAGTGAGGTTAAGCATTTTATGCAATTCATACAAAATACATCTGAATGTGCAAAGACAAAGGGGGAAACAACAAGGAAACATGTTTTTGTTTTAAAACTGCAAACATGATATTTATGAAAATGTGAAAGGTACAAGCATAATTGTTGTTTGAATTCAATGGATTACAGCATAGTAAGAGAGTAGGCTGCAGCTATTGGCCCCCTGAGCAATGAACTAAAAGTGACATCATGCAGTTGAAAATAACCATCCTGCTGTGGTTAAGCAAAATGCTGTCACCATTAAGTGGAGTTATTTTAAAACTGCTAAAAATTTCCATCAGTTCCTGCAATATTACATTTTCTTTTACAAAATATAGGAATTTCTTACATAAAATAACTTGACTATCCTCCTAAGTCATGTTTGCTGTCTAAGTCTCCTGCATAGTAAGCATGACATAGTGATCTATGTGACAGAAGAAATGTAAACATTTCATATGCAAATAACATTTTGTTATAAATAAATAAATGTGTTCATATTTTTCCCCGTTGATAATATGTGGTTTCTAAACAGAACAAATTTGTAAAAAAGGAGTCAGATATTTAAAAGAGGAAAAAAGTGAAAGAAAAACAGTTTCTGAAAGAAGTCTGCCAAAGCCACAAGAGGGTGGGAAAGAGAAGCGAGAGATCCCCCCCTAACTTCTCCCACGATAATTAGAGATGAATGTAGAGTTGATATTGATCTCCCCTGCAGGGCTGAGCTAGCATGCTAATTTCTACAGCGCTCATCTATCATTCCACCAAGCTAACAGACACACCCGTGCGTACACGCATGCAGACTCCTTAGAGATCACCGGCTGCAACTGATGCTGAGCGAACCCTTCTCCACTGGTTGCTAGGATACATCAGTACGATGCTGCAGCCGGCAGACAGCCCACTAAATGATGTACTCTACTTCCTCCAACTATATTCCATTCTGGCATGGGGACATGTTATGGTGATGTAACCTGGGGCTCTATAAAAGACAGCCAGTGGGTCTGCTGAATGCTACAATGCTCCCCATTCACATCGTTATACAGTGTTTCTTACAACATTTCCTGAAGATCGGTTCACTTTTGATTTCATCTAAATCTTGTCTAGAGACATACCATCTGGCCAGCTCAAACCAGCTTAAGATTATTATATTAAAGTATGATTTATCCAAGTTTCTCTCAGCTGTCGCCATATTCTGGGAAATAGTTATCAAACAGCTATTCATTTTCTGAAGAAAATAAGTCAATACCTTACTTATATTTGCAGTGACGAAGGGTAAACTGATATTAAAGTTAATCATTAGTGAATCTCAACATCTGATTGCATGTTAATCATTTCATTGGATTAAAAAGCAACGACTTACAAGAGTGAATGAGTGCATCAAAAGAGCAAACTGAAGTTTATTGATTCCCCAGAAGAATAAAATAAACAGTATACAGATGACTGAGTCCCCCTCTCCAGATTTCCCCTTAATGTAACTTTACCCTCCCTCTCACCTTAGTGGACCTGGCGACTCCATCTTTTCACGGTTAAACTTCTCATTTCTGTTTACTCCACACACCTTCTGTCCCCTGTCTCCTTCTCAGTGTTTCAAACGATTTCCTATTCACCGCCTTGTTCTCTCTCTTTGTCTGTACTGCATAGAGGTCTCTGCAGCAGACAGGTGCCAGCTGTGTTCTCTGTTCCCCATTGGCAGAAATGAAAGAAAAGGTAAGACCTCAGATTGATCTTAAAAGCTGCACTGGTTTAGTTCACTTACTTTCACATCCACCATTTTGTTTCAGGGCTTTGACACACGTGCCTCAGAACTTGTGTATCACTGAGAACTGAGTGCTTTAGAAATCTGGAAAATGGCACGACATTGTGCTAAAAATATACTGTAGGAAAAGACATGTCCAAAGTTAAAAAGTGAAGTTAAAAAATTATGTTTTATAGTTTGTTTCACAAAAACATATCTGAAAAGTCTGTGGTGAAATTTATTCACTTGCTCTCTACATCAATTTGTTATACCCAGTCAAACTGGGCAGAGAGTGGTTATGAATGTCATTTTTTTTTAAGATTCCCAATTGTATTTAGGTTCTAACTTTGTCTGGCCCATTGAATGGGAATAATTTTACAAATGGCAACATTTTTAGAATCTTTGTCCTGCTGGATATTTTGTGACTGACAGGTTTTCTTCTAGATCTCTCTTACATACAGAATAGTGCCACTCATGGTGGCAGTATGTTAAAGTCGCTCTGTTATTTTACTTCTTATTTGTTCATGTTTGGACAGTTATTCCCTCTGGCTTCAAATACATAGGTTCTGATAAAATGTGAAAAATAACAATTACAAATAAGCAAATGTAAAACACTGATATGTTTGGCAGTGGGGTGCCAAACATATCAGTTATTAAAGTTTAAAAACACAGTTTCTTTGTATAGACAGATGTAGTTTTTCAGTCAGTACATGACTGTCATAAATATAATCCAAAAGACAGAAACATCTTCAAGAAATAAGATAAACGTAGTTTCATTTAATATGTCAGCACTTTGAACATTCTTCTGTGACATCATGGAAAAATCAAGGGAAATCTCTCAAAATGTCAGAAAACAAATCATAAGTCTGGTTCATATGTACAGCATTCAGATACCTGAAGATTTCATATTCATCTGTTTAAACTAAAATATAAGCATTTAGCCATAATGACCAGTATTTGCTGGAAAAATAACATTTCCAAGCTTGGAAACAGTAACTCAAATGTAAAATATAAAAGTGGAACTTAACAAAATCAAAGGCATCCTGAGGAACAAACATTGAGAGAAAATATTCAAAGAAGATTTCAAGGCACCAACTAGGAAGTTAAAGCTAGAGGAAAAATTGGGTTTTCCAAAAGGACAATAACCCTAATTATACTGCCAAATTACAAATCAATGCCCTAAAGTGTCCTACAGTGGCCATTACAAAGCCCTTTTCTACTGTAGAAAAATTGTGTAAGTCTGTGTTTAACTGTTCTGATATCACAGAGTCTAGATGTAAAGCTGAAAGGACATTTGCAAGTAAGATTGCCAACAGTCTGATAAGGTACAAAAAAAACATCTCTGTTTTCTCTCTCAAAAAAGAAATTGTTTAAGACATATATAAATTTCTATATGGAGATTCTATTTTTTTATTTTTATTTAGCCAAGAGAACTTAGATAAAAGAAACAAGACCAGGAAGACAATTTACTTTTTTTTCCTCTGTTGAAAGAGTGCTTCATTGATTGCTAACATGATTATGAATCTTGAAAATCAGAGGTGAGTCAATACAGTTCTACTTTCACAAAGCAGATTTGAAATATATTTGCCATGGTGCTGTTTATGTCCAATCAGACAGCTTTGATAATGAGCCATAGTTGCACACAGAATTTATGAAAACCAGTATTGGAAATGTCTAAAGAGTTTTGGCAATGATCATATTGAAAAAAAATGTGCCCTCCTTTTCTGTCAGGATTTTTCAGGGATTAGCTAAATGGCAGTTCATTAATTCTGGCAATCAACACCTCAGCTGGACACATGCTTTTACAGCACAGCCAGACTCTGAGCCATAATCAACACCACAGGTCAACTAGAGAGAAGAAGGTCCCATTAATTGACACAAAGTCACACATGAACACACTGTGCTGCACAGACTGGGAATTTATCTAATCATGTTGCAGTCTGGATTCTCACATCCATGTAACCTCAGTTATAATGAATGGAGATTTTAATGCTTGTGAAGTTCGGTTCAGTGCTTAAAGGTTTTAATTCTGAGTATTACTACACATTTATCGTTAAAAACCTTGATAACTTTTCACACGCTGATGATGGTAAGCTATACATTGTAGCTGCAGCTGCAGGCTGAAAAATGACTGCCATACAGTCCATGCCACTGTGCCCTTTGACCACCACCAGCAGGAAAGGTGGGCAAAGTGTCTAGCCCAGGGACACCACGACCTAGAAGAATGGGATAACTGGCAACCCACCGGTTACACAAACTGCTACCTGCTGAGCCACTGTCATCCACAAGAAAGCAAATGAGATTACATGATGACACAACTTTCTGCAGCAAAGACATAACAAAATGCGGCTCCAACTGGATATTTATATATATACTGTACGAAAAAGCCACATTGTCCTTAAGTCATGCAACTAATATGGCTGAGGATCATTGTCCGTTTAAAAAGTACCATTTTACTCAAGCTGTTAAGTTCCTATTGAGATGTGGTTTCAATATTTCCATGTCATCTTCTTTCCTTGTGATGGCGTCTGTTTTGTGAAGTGCACCAGTTCGCACTGCAGGAAAACACTCAAAAGGTGATGCGAAACATTTCTTTGAAGTAGTGGCTTCTTCCTCTCTGATTAGCCTGTCAGCCCATGTGGGTATATTTCACAAATAATACAATCTTACAATCTGAAAACAATGTCTTCACTTTTCTTCTGGAGTTGATACATAGCAGTGCCTTTAGTTCTTCAAATGCTATGAATTTACCAATTACAAGTTTGCAACACCTGTACATTGTCATCAGGGCTATTTGAAAGGCATTCAATACTGAGACAAAATATGGGTAATGGAAAGACACTTTTAAATATTCTGGAATTTAGCAAATGTAAATAACTTTATCGTCCCGGCTTATGTAAAACCGGAACTTCAGATTAAACGTCAAACCTTATCTGTCTCTTTGTACAAGTCATGGTAATATTTGGTTTGGACTACTTTGTGTCATCAAGTAACTGTTGTTTATTTACAATCTAACCGACAACAGAAGCATTTGGCTTAAGTTTAGAAAAAACGACCATCTGCTCACATCAACCAAACACTTGAATGCGCTTGATGATGGAGATAAATAAACCACACATACTGGTCAAAC